GCTGGCTCATGCCCAGCACAAACACAAGTCCAAGGGTTAACGTGCTATTTTTTGATGTTATGTAGTCACCGGAATAACCAGAGCCAGCTCCCCCCTGACTGGGGACCCAGCCTGCCCTGACAGCAGCAGTCAGATGCTTTTTTCCTTTCAGCTCAATAAAGTCTGGATTACTAAACACAAAGGGGAAGAGACACAGCAGAGCCCCTTTCCCAACTCAGCTCCCTGTTCTGCATGGCTCAGCACAGCCAGCCTGAACACCAGACAGCAGAATGAAGCCTCCGACCTTAGAGCAGCCTTTCAGTACCTAAAGAAGGCTGGAGAGGGACTTTTTACAGGACAAGGGGGGATGGCTTTCAATTGAAAGAGGGTGGATTTAGGGGGGATATTAAGAAGAAATTCTTCCCTGTGAGGGTGGTGGGACACTGGGACAAGTTGCCCAGTGAAGCTGTGGCTGCCCCATCCCTGGCAGTGTTCAAGGCCAGGTTGGACGGGGTTGGAGCAACCTGGTCTGGTGGGGTTTTACTGCAGGTAAGGATGAAATTTAAAAGAACATTTCAGATTTGCTTATCTGCAGCCACCTGGGCACATCTTAAGCAAAATTCCCATGTTTTCATTGATGTGTGTGTGTACACACACGCAGGCATACACACATGAATATAACATACATATGCACATATAAAAATTATTATGGTGCTTTAGCTTTTTTAAAATTATTTTAATTATTGCAGTTGCCAGACTCCTTAAAAATCTGCATTTCCTATTTTAAAGCTGGATTCTAAGCTAAATTCCTTAGCAAAGAGAGTGTAACACCCCCAATGATTAAATAGTTATTACTATTTATTATTTATATTAGGTTTATATTAGTCTTCTATCATTATACATTAATTGCAATTTTATATTCATTTATTATTAAATATTTAGTATTTTGTTCTATAAGGTGTGGTTCTGCTGGCAGAAGATGGGTATTTTGGAGAAAAAGACGTAGGCTTTTTTGGTGTTAATAATCGTCCTGTGTAAACCAGGCCCTTAAATACTCTTTCCCAAAGAAAAAACAAGGGTAGGTGAATTTAAGAGTAAGTGTAGGCTCGTTCCTAGGTAACTGTTGTTGTTTCTAGCAGCAGTAACTAGTATTTACTCTGCTGCTAAAGTGCCGTTAGGGATGGCGGTACCCTGGTGTTTTGAGGAAGGAGGGGGTGTACGTGCATGCACAGGAGCAGGGAAGGGAAAGAGCAGGCTCCAGCAAGAGCTCAGCTCAGCTCAGCTCTGCTCTGCTGCGGTCGCTTCCGTGCGAGGGCCGCTCCTGCAGCTCCCGCCTGGGAGCCGCGGCGTTTCCACACTGGTGGCACGGCTCAGGGGCACTGAGATCACCGCCTGTGACGTGACCGCCCTGCATCCGGTGCAGCTGCGGCCAGCTCACGCCTGACGCCACCGCCGGCCGGCCCCCCGTCACCAAGTGCCACCCGGACAGAGTGCGGCCGGGTGCCATGGGAGAAGGGCAGAACCCAGCCAGCTCAGCAGTGGCAGCCACAGCACCTTCCTGCCCCCGGTTCACAGAATCCTGCGACACGGCTGCGACACCAGGCACCACCTGCTCACACACGGCAAGTTTCAAAGCGAGCCGCGTAAAACCGCAACAGAGGAGCGCAGTCGCTGCTGTCACCTCCCGTCGCCTCCTGCTGCCCTGTACGCACAGGGTGAGCTCATTTCCCACCTGGCTCCATGCCCGCTCTTCAGTTAACCACACCAAGCCCTAAGTCACTTGGACAGGAACAGCGAGTGCTCACGGTCCCCAGCGATGCCTGATAAAGATGCCTCCTGGCGCCCGTGCTGGGAGCTGCAGCTGGTGCGAGACATGAACGCCGTCACCCTCCGCTCCGTCCACTCCCACCTCCATCGCAGCACCGGCCTTGCTGAACCACGCTCCCGGGCAGCCCCTTGCAGCCTGCTTCTGCTGGCTCTGTGGACCCGCTCCGGCACTGGGGAGGTGCTGGCTCTGCAGGGATACCGGTGGGAAAGCTGAGGGCATGTTCCAGCCCGTGGTTCACAGCTGAACACCCCCAGGAGACTTCACAGACCATCAAAATATCTAGGCTTAAGTCCACAAAGAGGTAGAGAAGTTTCAGCCTCCAGCTTTTGGGACAGATTTGGCACTTCTGTACTCCTTGGCACAGCGGGCAAGGCCCAGGCACTGTGGATGGCAACATGATGGTGACTACAGAATCAGAGAGCCTCTGATGGGAATACACACTGGTCTTCTCCCTCAGTTAACACACGCACAGTTAATAAGCAGATGCAGCAGCATAGTTTTTTTTTGCCCTAATGCATCCCTGTCCATAAAACAATAGATCAAAAATCGATCCCTTTTTATCTGCCCTTTTTGTAACAGCAGTTGCAGAGCAAATCTCCCATCTTCCAGATGAACGCCCTGGCCACCAAGCTGTCAGCACAAGGGGGAAGGACATTTATTTCTCATTACCCCTGTGAAGCCATGGAAAGAGACAGAAACAAACACCTGGGAGGACCCTGTGCAGCACAGACCATGGCTTGGGGGGAGCACCGAGAACACCTCCCCGATGGAAACAGGAGCTCCGAGGGCACAGCAGATTCCTCCTGCATCCACTAAATGAGGTCTCAATGGGTGGAGGAGCACAACCCAGGAGGTGCAGGCATCAAAGCTGATAAAACCTCTGAGCACCTAAAATGACTGCAACTTAAGGTTGTTACTTACCAAAGTGCAAAGGCAATGCTCAAGTAGGAGGCACATCCGTGCTTGCAAGAGCCAGCAACGTGGGGAGCTAAGGCAAGCCATTTAGTGCAGCCACTGCCGCACCACTGCAAACGTTCCAGCAGCACCAAGACTATCAAAGATTGGGTGGCAACAGCTTTTAGTGTTTCCCAGCATAAGAAGTCTTCCCATTTTTCTCTTGCTATCATCTTCCAGAAGATGAAGAAACAGGGTGGTTCAAGCACCATATAAAATCAAAACTAGAACAGGAAAGGAAGACAACAGGAGTATTAAAAGTCTGGTACAAGACAGAATGGCAGACACCTGAGGAAATCTGCCCTAGGGAAAATTGTTTATCACCAGGCCTGTGCTCTGCAAGAGGGGAAAAAAAGGGAGTTTCACATTGAAACAACACAAAGGCCCTTCATATGTGCAGTTAGACCATCCCCACCATGTATCCTACCCTTTCTGCTTGTCTGGTCGCAGTAAGGATTTACAGGAGAACAAAGTGGGATTCATTACTGCAGGGCCACAGAAAAGCAACCAGACATCCATGTTAAAGGTGGGCTCCTCCAGTTCTGCCCTTCCCATCCTGTTGGCCTTAGTGAGACCACAGGGCCTGCAAGAGTCTAAGCTCAGTTTGTCTTCATGTTAAAACACAAACCTTGGGCCTTGTAACAAATCCCTAGTGGAGTTAGAAAGCAGGTGGCACAATGTCTGCATCTGATGTGACCATGCTATTTACAGCAGTTCACGTAGCCTTGCTGTGCTTGGTTTTCCTAAGAAAACAAATAGGACTACTTGTAGCTATGAATTCCTGTTCAGTCTTCTCGAACAAGAACTGTTCAACAAGCACAGGATATTGTGGCAAGCCCTGTACACATTAACACCTGAGGCACTCCCAGTCCTCAACCCTGTGGATGTGCCAGGTTTTCCATTTTGGCTAATAGGGACATCATTAACCTCCATATGTAAACAGAGGACACTGTGTCTTAAGAAGGGAGCTCAGCAGTAGCCAGAGACCCACTTCAGGCTGAAATATAGACCAGTTGTTACAGATCTGCTGAAAAGCAATGCACCAATGCACTTATGACTTCAATTCCCCCTGGAGTTAACTCTTTCCTTAGACCACAGCTGTACATTATTACATTCCTAAAGAAAAGCAAAGCCCCCTCCTTCTGCCCAGCTCAGTGGAATCACTGGTGTTTTAGAGACCAGAACCAAGGCCTTTGTGGCACCAAAATAAATTTAGCACAGAAAGCCAAGGAAAAAGTGTTGGCTTTTTGTCGCAGAGTGCAAAGGGCTTGCCTTTCAAGACAAACCTTGAATGGCTGCTGACAAGAACTAAGAAATGCAGGTTTGAGATTGCACAACTGGCTTGAGAGGATGAAGGTGTCAGTAGGGCTTACAGACACAGGTACATCAAAACCAAACACAATACAAAGATAATGCAATGAAGAAAGCATGAAACTTTAATTAGAAGCTCCACTGCTTTAAATAGAGAGAGAGGCAAAGGCTTCAGGGCTTCTTTGGATTCACACTGCTGAATTCAAGAGCACTGTAGCTGGAGCCAGAGTTACACTGCAGAACACGTAGCTGGCTTCCCTTTGCTAAACTTAAACTGACAAGGTTGAAGTAATTCTTTGAGCCAACAAAGCTGAAAGGAAAATAGGCCACAGACACATGGAAATCCCTGGCCCTACTTCCCTGGATTGCCAAGTCAGCTGCGTACTGGCCCCCAGCAGGAGTCTATCATCACCACACTGCTCAGAGCTGAGGCTTCTGGGGCAGGTTCCAACATGCCCCTCTATACCTTAGCACCCTGGCCTAGACAACAAGTTCTGCTCCAGCTGCCTTCACCAGCTCTGTAGCCAACCTCACCCCATCTTACCTGCATGAACTGAAACTCAGTGAATTGCCAAGGCTCTACTGAAAGCTAAGTGACAACCAAGTTCTTCTGCAAGTTTTGAGATAAGCTTTATTTTAAAGGAGAATTCCCCTCCCCAAACAGAGTGTTTATATTCACTGTCTCTTACTCAAGTTCAAATATTTGTGTGGCATACATTCTCATAGCCAAGTGTTTCCTATTGGCTGACATCACGTTACAACCTCACACTGTGCGCAGTTACTGCACAGCTATGAACACAAGTACTGAAGTCCATGGGACACGTCTTCCAGCTCAAATCTTCTTGTGCTGCCATGAACTCAGCAGTAACATTTCTTACTTGTTTCAGAAGACCAAAACACTGTCCCTTCCAAGATGCTTTAGAACAGATTTTTACTATCTGACATCTTCCAAATTAGAGGAATTTTAAAAGCAATTCCCCTGTCTTTTCATTTGGATTGGCAAACTCAGGCTGCATTTAGGTTCCTGAACATTTACTTAAGGTCTGCGCTTTCGTCATCTTTGCTGTACTCAGTGACACTACCACAGGACACAACTGGAACTGGTTTGGATCCAGCCAGCACAGGTTTTATCCATGAAGAGGCTTGTGAGCACAGGTGATCTCACCATGTACTCTGGCAGGAGGGGTTAGGCTTCTCTGCAAAGGTGTTTTAACAAACGTGCTCTTGCTTCTTTTCAGAAGACTTTGCTGAAATCCGTCTTTGTGAAGCTGCTTTCTCTGAGTACATTTTCTCTGGGAAGTATTTGTCAGTCTGAGGTAAAGCTGTTAGCCTCTCTGCCTTCTGGTGATTGGTTTTCACAAATCTTAGCAGGTTAACAATAGCAGCTGGTGTAATTCCAGGGATGCGGCTGAGTGCACCAATCTGCATGTGGAAACAGGAGCAAGTTAACCAAGAACAAACCTACACACTAGTAGAAAAAAAAAAGAGACTGAAACCTGTGGGTATTCCTTTCCCTGATTATTCTCACCCCCTACACCTCTTGGGAAGACACAGAAAGGATTTCATTGCTGCTCAACCTTGCTGTGACCCAGTATCTTACCGTCTGGGGACGGTTAGAGTCCAGTTTTTCCCGCACCTCCAATGAAAGGGATGCATCAATGGCAAAGTAATCTAGGTCCTCAGGCAGTCGGAGGGCTTCATCACGACGCACTTCTTCTATTTCCTGCTGTTGGTTCTCCACACACCACTCGTAAGCAGCTGTGATGGAAGATGAAGGAAACATGATCAGACATGGATGTCTATGTGAAACAGGTCACCTGCAGGAATTCTTTGAAGCAGAATGAGCAATTCCGCTGAGACTGTCAAAAGCTCCTAATGAAGTTTCCAGCTGCACAGACTAAAGAGACTAATTCACATCACTACTTTGGAATTAATACTCTTCAATTTGTTACAGGAATTAAGATACACAGGTTGGCTTTTCCTTTCATCCCAGCAAAGCACAGTCTATTTGACAGAGCAGTAAGAAGGAAAGCCCCAGGAGCGGACATGACTAATTATCTCACCCCACAAAGTGAAATACATCCAGGTGACTAGCACAGAACTGTGGTCTATGGTAAAAAGTGCATGCTCTAACAGTGTTTCATTTTGCTAAGCAGTAACATGAAAACGCACTGGGATGAATGGATTTGCTCACCCCTTACTGAACACAACATACACAGATCCCACTAAGAGATTCTAACTCTTGTACTCTACCTTCTATTTTCAATCTCTCTGCCAGCTGTCTCCATTGAGCAAGCTTTCCCAGGGGCTCTGGGACAGCCCTTGCCAGAAGCTCCATGTTGGCCTCTGGATATCGAAGGACATCAAAGGCACTGTGGAGAACAGGAGTTAAGTTTCTATGGTAGGAAGGAGTCACTTGCATAAGGCAGATTTACAGCTGTTTCCAGCTCAAACTTGTAAAGATCTCAGCATAAGCCACAACTGCAGAGCCAAGCTCACCCCCCTACTATCTCCTCTTGGTATACAAAAGAGCTGTTAAAACTCTTGAAGAGGGGCTCTTTATGAAAAATAAACAGCAAGATGTAGGGAAACACAGACTGAGTTAGGTCTTAGTCACTGATTTAAAACAACAGAAAAGAGAAGGTGAGATAAAGGATGGGTAAGGGAAGAAAGGCCTCTGTGTACAAGAACAGCTACCATCTGATGGTAGCCTGAAATCCAACTGCCGCTTTATTAAGCTTTCAGCAAAGCAGCAACCCACTGCACAACCATAACCACTTTGTGACACTCTCAGTAAGGACTACAAAAACTGACAGGGCCAGTGGAGAACACCCTTGCTCTGGGAGCCTATGTCAGCACTAGGAAATGCAGCACAGTAAAAACACCAATGTCGCACTTATTCTATGGACAAACATCAGGTGTCTGTCCTCTAAAGGTGATAAAGCTGGAATCTTAGGAGTATTGATGGCTTCAGAAAGGATGGACAACTGCTGTGAAATTACAAGCCAGCTAAAGCAAGCATAGGTCAGACCAGAAAGCTTCAGCTTTAACCCTTACCTGAGAGGCAACCTTCGACCGCTACTGATAGGAACTTCTGGTACTAACTGGGACCATTTGGATATGCTGAACTGAAGGGATTTTAACGTTGCAATTCCATCCTCTAAAGCAGCTCTCATCTTAACTGCTTGTTCATATCGCTGCTGTGACACACACCCAGCTTCTTCAAAACCTGCAGAGACAGATGGCATAGGAGACAGAGATCTATGACAAGGCAGGGCTGCTCACTGCAAGAGCCACCACAACAAAATACCTCTGTGGGTGAGCCTTGCATCAGCATTATCAGGCCGGAGGGACATGCGGAACTCCACACGGCTGGTGAACATCCGGTATGGCTCACTGGTGCCCAGAGTGGTAAGGTCATCGATCAGGACACCAATGTAGCCTTCAGTGCGGCTGACAATGAAAGGGGGCTTGCCATGAACCCGTAGGCAAGCATTGATCCCAGCAATCACACCCTAGGCAGACAGAACACAAAACAGAGTTACCAGTCTCTTCCTGGCTGAAGTACCAGCACATCTGCCTTCAAAGACTCAAGTGTCAAACTGTATCTTTGAAAATGCAATAGCCTGTTCTAACAGTGTAGGCAGCTTTTTTCTTGTCATGTTATTAGTATCTGAAGGGCTTCTTGGCCCCTGCTGACAGGCGTAGAGAAAATTTCCATGTTTTCAATTATATGCACTGCATAGTTTCCATGCTGAAACATTTGACAGTGATTCCAATTACTTTTATCACTGCAATCTCAATAACAGCAACTGCAGATACCAAAAGTAGTGATATCTGGGCAAGTCTGGAATCAGGGTAAGCAACAAAAGTAAGAACATCTCATTAGCAGAAGATGGGCCTAGCAAGACTATGTATCAAAGACAAATGCCCAGGCAATATCCCTTTCTGAGCAGCGATCAGATTCACCCACTTGAGCTGCAGCTTCTTCATAGCCTGTAGTGCCATTTATCTGGCCTGCAAAGAAGAGGCGCTGAACAAGGCGAGACTCCAGAGAAGCAGTCAGTTGGCGGGGATCTAAAAAGTCATATTGCACTCCATAGCCTATGACAAACAAGAAGACAGATCTCATGGGAGTGATTTTGAAGGTTCCTTTTACTGGCAAAGACAATGAGTGGGGCAGAATGACTCAGATTATCAACTTTTACTTATTATATAAAACCAATCAAGGCAAACCCCCTACATTCAAGAATTAATTTTGTTTCCTATTTCCTTTGTTATGCTCTAAACATAATCTGGTTTTTATTAACTGGTAGCCAATATGACAAATAGATATAAACCTATTCACCCCCCCTCACCTGGCTGTAAGATCTTGGCTTTTTCCAAGCCTGGGATGGACCTGATCACCTGCTCCTGAAGCTCAGGGGGCAGTGTCATCGACACACCTTGGGGGTAAATAACATTGGACTCCAAGCCTTCAGGCTCCAGCCACACCTGATGTTCCCGGTTTGGGAAGCGCAGAACCTTTGATTCCAGAGATGGACAGTACCTGCAACGGTAAATAGCCAGGAGCACCACTTGACATGGAGAAAAAGTAACTTGCCAGGAGGAAAGCAAGAGAAACCCACACACTGTCAGGTCGTACCACTGAGAGCCTTGAATGATGCCACGCTGTCCTGGAACCTTTGGGTTTTTTTTCCTGCTTCCTAGTAGCTGGTGCAGTGCTGTGTTTTGTCTTTAGCCTACCAGCCAAAAGGGTATTCCACAGCACAGCATGTCATGCTCAGTATATAAACTGTGGGGAGTCACCCAGAAGGCCCAGATACCAGGCTGGGTATCGGCTGGTGGGCAGTGAGCAACTGTATAGCACATCACTTGTGTTTATTGGTTTTTTTTTTTACTTTCCCTTTTTAGTTTTATATTCTCTCCCCTTGTCATTTCCCTTATAGCTATTAGTATTATTACCCCTATTAGTTTTGTATTATAGTTTAGTTATTGGATTGTTCTGATCTCAACCCTTGGGGTTTACATTCTTTTGATCCTCCCTCCCCATCCTGCCCGGAAGAGGGGGGATGCGTGTGTGTGAGTGAATGGCTGCATTACTGGATGGGATTAAACAATCACACACACACACACACACACACACACACACACACACACACACTTACCGTGGACCCCTTGTTGTCTCCCTTATATGGTTGTTCAGGTGGAGATTATCACAGATAATTTCCTGGGCTTTCAGGGTAGTGCGAGTCAGGTAACACAACAGCTGATCTTCTGGCTGAAAGAGGCCAGAGCTCACTTTAATTTAACCCAGTCACAACTAAACAAGTCTGAGGACTTCCAAGGTGGCTTTTTCATGACACTTGGCTTGCAGTTCTTAAAGACATGGGCAGTGCTATCTATCATCCTGACTGTACAGACAGAAGCAATCAGAGAACTTCAGCAACATGCCCAAAAGCAGACCAAGAAGAGAACAGAACCAGAGAGCCCAGGCCCAGAATCCAAGTTCTGTTCTATACACCGTATTCTGAATTGCAGGATGGATATTCCTACTAAAGCACCATGTTATATAACAGCATTCAAGTTAACCATGGGACATCAGAGCTCTGAAGTAAGAGAAGTGCTGACCCTACAATAAACAGCCAACTGATGTTTGGTGAAGAAAACCAAAACAGAAATCTCTTAAAGCCCTGCAATTAACATGGAAAACAAATCCCTCCATGTAAAGTATTTCACTATTTTTTATGAAACAGTCAATAGACTCACATTCAAAATAATAATGTTGCACCTCAACTACTTAAAATCTTTCCTACACATACGAAGTACTTCAAGTGCTACTAACTTCACCTCCACCCTAATTATAGTAAGTTATTGTAATTCCTATAAGCTCTTGGGCAAATCAACTCCCGATAATTAATTCTGTTATGTTTAAGTACATTATGTAAGAACACCATCAATTTTCCAAGATTTTCTTTAGAAAATTTTCATCTGCTTTCAACTTACTGCAAATATATCCACCTCTGAGCTCTGTGGATGACTGTCTTCCCAGCCAACACTGTTAATGGTCTCCAGTTTCAGTATTTTAATCCTATTCTAGAGCCAGGGTAGCAAGCAAGACATCATAAATCTCCACAATATGGGTCTAATAGTGGAAGTATTTTGTAAAGCCACCCATGTAACCAGCACATGAATACTAACAATATCATATTTTATGCAGGTCTGACCTGAGAAGTAAAGCATGTCTGGTTCACAAGTTGGTAAGTGAGAGGAAAAAGGTACTTGCTCTCAAAAGAAAATCCCTCTGCAGTGGGGATCCTCAGAGACATAAGACCTCCAGTACTAGTACAGGCCAGCTACCTTTTCCAGCCATCAGTTTCCCAACTGATTCTGAGCATAACGATCCCAGAACCACTCCCCACCCGCCTCTGTATGCACTTGGTGCATGCTCTCCCACCTTGATCCACACATCCTCACTAAGGAAGCTGAACGGCACCGGAGGATTGTCAGCTGCACGTTCCTGCAGACCGCTGAAATCAATGGTATCTTTGGCAAGTCGGGGTGGTGTTCCAGTCTTCAGCCTGCCCACAGCAAATCCCAGTTTCTCCAGAGTCTGAGCCAGCCCAATGGCTGGTTGGTCCCCCAGACGCCCAGCTGGGTACATGTCGAGTCCAATGAGGATCATACCCCTCAGGAAGGTACCGGTGGTCAGGATAACACTCCCAGCATGTACTGTGCTCCCATCCCCTGAAACAGCAAGTTTTCAGAGATACACATATTTCAGTATCAGCAAAGCCCTGCTATCCTAACGCTCTGTCTAAAACTAGACTGTTTGCTGAGGGTTTATCCACCCTCTATGATGTAACAAAATCAACATTTCAAGAATAAAAGCATCAACAGTAATAGCTGCAGTAAGCAGCATTTCTTATTCCTAAGCATGCTACCCCTAACACAGAAAACCCACTCCTGGGAAAAACCCTTATCCAGGCCTTTATTTCAGAATGCTTTTTTACTAGAACAGCAAGAGATAATAAAGCACAAGATGCTATTATTAAGATGCCACTGCCCTGTAGTGCTGTCAGCAGCACATACTGCTTATCAAGTCAAAAATGCAGCAGGGAATTCAGCATCACTAGCCTGAAGAAAATCAAACTCATGTAACCTTCCACTATCCCATCTATTCAGGTATGTTTTTCATTGTATTACACATACTGACCTAGTTCAGTTCACACTTAGTCTAAGTCACCTCTATCAGTTAATTCAACTCTCTCACTGGTGAATCAGAAATGTTTACCCCAAAGGCTGCTCTTAGTGTAGAGGAACTGAAGGTGCTTGCTGAGTTACTAGCACATACCCAGAACGACTCCAGTGACTTGGCACTTTCCAGGATGGTCTGGTTCTGGCTCTGTCAAGAGAAGATCCTCCACAGACGCCTCACGAACTGTCAACAGTGGTGTGTTAAGGATTTCTTTCTGTCATGAAAGGAGTTACTGCAAAAATCTAGTAAGTTATGAGACATATGGGCAGTCCCAAATTCTGCTGATTTCCAAAACATCTATCACCTTCTTCCCCTTTCCATTCTCACCAGTTCACTTGGCAGACACTCAGTTACTGTACTATGTACTATCCTGATCTATCAAACAGAACTTCTCAGACACAGAGTTCAAGCTCAAACAAAATATTTTGGGCATGAAGTCTGGCCTGTATATAAAACACTAGAAAAACTTTTAAACTATGCTGAGCTCCAACAGCTCACACTACATTAAAACACCAAGCAGAAAGGTGTACAGGTTTGATAAGAAAACATTAAAAAACAAAACAATTGGTGTCTGTGACATCGATATCCTGACACTTTGGATCTGAGTAATTCATTCTAACACTCCAGCCCACAAGCATGCAGAAAAAAAGCCCCTGGAAATAAAAACGTGTTTGTAAACTAATCATCACTCTTGACTTTCTCTTAAAGTGTCCTCACTCCCATTTAACAGCAGCTGCCATTTCTACCAGGCTGCATATACAGATATTCCCATACACGGCTAAATATAAACGATTAAAGCATCCTTGAACAGGGTAAACTCAGGGCCCCAGACACTACAGATGCTCTGGAACCCCTCCGCCCCAAGCTGGGCCAGAGCTGCAGAAGCCAAGTGCCGCCGCCGCCGTCGGAGGGCTGTGGGGCAGGAGGGAGCCGAGGGCAGGCTGCCCGTCCAGCGGACAGCGCCCACAAGGAACCGTCTTGCCTCTGCACAAAGCAGTTTGACTTGTAAAGGTTCCTACAAGGGGTGTTCACCTCACCACACCCCAGCCCAGCCCGGCCTCACCTGCATGTGCTCCTTATAGAGGCCGCGGTCGATCTGGGCGCGGAGGCCCCACACAGCTGGGCCCTTGCAGCGGTTCAGCACTTTGTAGTGTACCCCGGAGCGGTCGCAGACCCGGCCGCACAGCCCATCCAGGGCGTCCACCTCCCTCATGAGATGCCCCTTCCCGATGCCACCGAAGGAGGGGTTGCAGGACATCTCCCCTACGGATGGGACACACCGACACCGCTCACCACCGCCGCCCAAGGCGCCCGCAACCTCCTCTCCTTGGCCGGGGACACAAGAGGCGCCCGTGGAAATAGGCCCGACCCGGCTCCCCGCGGTAGCCCTTCCCCAAAGCCCACGGCTCAGCGTGGCCCCACCGGCCCCCGGGCACCCCCGCGGCGGTACCGATGGTGCCGATCTTGTGCGTGAGCAGCAACGTGCGGGCCCCGCCGCGAGCAGCAGCCGCCGCCGCCTCCGTCCCCGCATGGCCCCCGCCGATCACCACCACCTCGTAGCGCGGTACCGCTGCCGCTCCGACCTCGCTGCCCGCCCGGCGGTACCAGGAGAGCGGCGCCGAAGGTAGAGCCAGGCGACGCCAGCTGCCGCGCAGCAACATGGCGGCGGCTGCGGTGGCGCCACAGACAGCGAGAAGGACCGGAACCGGCAGCGGGAGGCGGGTGAGGACACTTGCCGCGCCTCAGCCGCTTGGGGGCGGAGCCGTTTGTGACTGCAAGGCGGCATCCGCGGGGTAAAGCGCCGCTTCGCGGCCGTCCACTGTGCTGCTCCGTGAGGCGAGGCCTTGGTAGGCGGTGCCTGTTGCCGGCGAGCGCTCCCGGCGTCTGTGTGCCACACGTCCCGTTGGTGGGTGGGGCCTCCCGGGAGGGAGAAAACGCTCCCAGAGGATTGGAGGGAGGTGGGGTGGTGTTGGCTGGTTGTCGGAGCTTTCCCGCGCTTGGGCTGTCACCAGGAAAGCACCGGGTAGATAGACTAGGCGGTGGCTCTCAGCGTGGGAGGCTTGCCCCTCCCGCCCGGCGGGACTTTCGTTTCTTCGGTGGAGGCGTGGTATCTGCAAGAGGAAATTGCTCGAGGCGAGGGACGGGAATCTTCTCCCGCTGGGCAGCGGCCGCCGGTCAGCGGGCGAGGAGCGGGAGTGAAGGCAATGGACGGTGCCCGTGGCAGAAAGCCGCAGGGCGGGCGCGGGGCGCGGCCCGCAGCTCCGCGGGGCCGGGGCGCAGGTGGCAGCCGTAGCGGCACCGCTACATCCCGAGGGCCTCGGAGGGAGGGATCCACCGCCCGTCGGCGGCCCTCCGCCACCAAGAGCCTGTCGGCGGGCCCTGCAGCGAGCGGCGGAGAGAAGCTCCCCGCTCGGCGGAACGGGACAGCTGTCACCAGAGTCCCCGCGGCTCGGAGGCGAGCGGAGGTGCCAGACGGGGCGGTACCGGCCTCAGGGGCTGTCCTGCGCTCCCCGTCGGTAGCGGGAGCCCCGCGGTTACGGGAAGTGGTGTCGCGGCTGACCCTGGTCCGCGAGGACGTATCCGAGGCGTCGGAGCTGGTGAACAAGGTGGTCTCGCGCCTCATCCAGGCTCTCCGCAGCAACGGCGGCAGCTTCAGCTCCATCAAGCGGCTGGGCGCCGGCAGCTACTACGAGCACGTCAAGGTGGGTGCGGAGAGAGGGGGCGGGGGGGGGCAGAGAGGGGCGACGCGTCCCGCGCCGGTGGCGGGACTGCAAGTGGAGCCCCGGCAGCGGGGAACGCGGCGGGCGCTGCGCCTGTCCCTCGAGAACAACTGTTAAGTTGGCTCTTCCGGACGAGAAAGGGTTATTTAAGAACAGTTAGTTATGAAATAGCTAGCGTACTGAAAGATGAATATGTGTGCGCTCAGTAAGTGACGCTGCCTCAACACGAGTCGCTTTAAAGCCGTAGCAAGCCCCTGCCCGTGCACAGCGCGCAGGTATACTTGGTGTAACCGGAGCAGGAGTCGGGAATACCTCTGCATGAAAAGCCCTGTGCCTGCTTTCAGTTTATCGTTTTTCCAATAGTCGGGAGAAATAGCAGTACCTTCTTTCTGTGTCCAGCTCGGTCTGAAACAAAGTCAAGCACGGGAAAATATTTTTTATTATTATTTTAAAGCCAGCTCCAGGCATAGCAATGCTTTTTCTGCTTTTCCTTGCAGCGTACAAAAGAATGACTAAGATCAGCATTTATGTATTAGAACGGCTTAAGAATCTTAATACTTCCTTAAAAAATTGTAAGTTGGAAAGCTGGGAAGTGAACTGCTGTCAGCAAATTGCTCCTTTCCACTGCAACACACGGCAGTCTTGTAATGCAAACCCACGGAAACAACCTCACATTTCACCCCAGGTGTGAGAAGTACACTACGTCGTAGATAAAACTGCGACTGGTATAAAAGCTTAAAGAGAATAAAACCTGTTGCACATTGACTGTTTCGTTCTCATGCTCTGCAGATATCAGAACCAAATGAGTTTGACATCATGCTTGTAATGCCTATTGCACGACTTCAGCTGGATGAATGTGATGACACTGGAGCCTATTACTATGTAACATTTAAAAGAAATCCAAAAGAAAGATATTTGTTGAAGTTTTTAGATGAAAACGGGAAATTATCAGCCCTTAAAATGCTTCAAGAGCTAAGAGAAATTATTAAACAAGAAGTGAAAAACTTTAAAGGTAAGTATTGACAGAACAAGCTTCACCTAAGAGTGCCAAAAATCCAGTTACATTGCCTTGTTGTTAACAAGATGTGATTTTCCCCCCAGTCAAGTGTCTCTGTGGCAATGTAGCTATAACTGCCAAAACTCAGGCTAAAGTTGAAAACAGCACTGCACCGGCTACTAAGAAGGAGAAAAATGACTGCTACTGCTGAACCCAGGACACCTGTCTATTTTGAATCTGCCTGCTGTTGAACTGGTAGCAACAGGAAGAGCTTTCTCTTACACGCTACCTAATATTTTATATCGGACTCTGTAGAAAACATATCCCCTCTTAGGGTCTTCTTTTTTCCCAAGCCTTCAGAAATACTGTGGCCTAATCTCTTTGGTCTCAGTGTTTTCAATAATGAAGCAGTTCACTGAAAAACATTCCTGCATTTCTCATTCTGTAGATACAGTAAATCAAGCAAACACAGCTGTTCAAGAAGAGTGTGCTCAATTTCGTAGAATTCTTCAATAGGCCTTCTTACTTAAAATCCTGGATAAAGGAGGATAGAGGATAAAGAGGCAATGTCTGAACCCAGATATTTCTTTTGACTGATTTTAAATTCCTCTTAGCCTGTTAACATCCTTAAAATAAGTTTCTAATATAGAAATTTATCTAAAAATCGCTTTCTTCTTTGTTGCTAGATGTGGAAGTAACTGTGCAAAGGAGAAAGGCTGGAAGCCCTGCAATAACTCTTCAGATCAAAAATCCTCCAGCAGCAGACATATCAGTGGACATCATCTTGACTCTGGAAGTTCAGCAGAGCTGGCCACGCAGCACACAGGATGGCCTCAAAATTGAACTGTGGCTGGGAAGAAAAGTCAAGGGACAGTTCAGAAACGAAGCAATTTATTTAGTAGCCAAACAAAACAAAAAAGAAAAGGTTCTAAGAGGTACCTCAAATACAGACAATAAGTCTATGTTATGAAATATCTACTGTAGAACTTGACCACTTTCAAGTGCTCTAAAAAAGGGTATCCAGATTCTGTTCAGTATTCTGTTTTCAAGGTACAGATCTTTATCTTATCCTGGATATATCTGGATCAGAGACAATTGAAATCAGTCTTTAAAACCATCAGATCTGTGGTACTGCTCATTTTGTACCAAAATCTAAAGACAAAACTGCTCTGTCTGGTTGCACACTGACCATTGCTAAGAGCATTATATTAAATCTGCCAAGTCAGACCCATGGATATAAACCTTTCCTGTGCTAGTGCTGTACTCAACAGCAACATGCACTCCTCAGCTTTTTAAAAAAGTAAAAGGAGCTTTCTAAAAAGGCAGGAACATCCCTGTAAGTGGGACTGTATACACAAGTTACAGACTTCTACATGAACTAAACTGTACTTTCCTAGCAAGACACTTGGTTTCTCACTGAACACTTATATGGCTACGTTTTTGTTTTCTCCAGACCACTGTCACACCAAGCATACATGAGTTTGCAGAAACATCACAATTTGTCATCGTTCTATAAGAACTGCCGATTTTAGCAAAAAGAGTTCAGGCATCTTAACAATGCCAAGGAAATAATTACCGGGCTATCTCTTCCTGTGAAATTCAATTGCAAAGAGTAACTGAATCAGGCAAGGGAAATAGTCTCATTTATGAAAGGAAGACAAAAATGGCTGCTGGTGTTTTTAAAAGAAGGGGTTGAGCTGTGTTAACCCCTGGTTTTAGAAACACAGAATGGCTTTTTTTTTTTTTGTTTTCCTGTTGCAGACACTGGCAGCTGCTGCTGTGTAACAATTTAACAATCTTGTACTCAACTTTAGGAAACACCTGGAGACTCTCTTTCTTGCATATCGAGAAGGCCATGCTGAATAACCACGGCAGCTCAAAGACATGTTGTGAATCTGATGGACTGAAGTGCTGTAGGTTGGTATTCCATACAAGTATTTCGCTTTAATCCTGTGTGAGCCAGGCTAGCACTGTTTAACATTTAAGAACGTGATCTGACGCTGATTACTCATAATAGAGGGAGCAAGAATAAGGAAAGCTTTTATGAAGCACTGTCCTACAGCAGAAAAACACTCGTACTCGTTGGACATTTGACTTGTAAATGCTCAACAAGAGGAGGAGACAAATCACAGGTTTACACTCCAGCCTTGCCTTGGAAAGCAAAAACGTGCTACTTGTTTAATCTTTCCCAAACTCAGTCCTGTTTAGAAGAACCAATTTAGAAGTCTGATGACTCAGCTTTCTGAGCTTTGGGAGTGAATACCTACACTTCATACCAAGGCAGTTTCTACAATGATTATGAGGAAAGAACCTGCCAAATGGGATCAGGATTTTTCACTCACATAAAGACTGTTTTCCACATTTCTTCAAAGAACAAAACCCAAATGAGGTACAGAACCTCCCATTAATGGCAAAGCAACTTCTTAGTTTACTTAATTACATCTGGTGCTGAAGCAAGAAAGTTACAACTCATGCATAATTTTTTGTCTTCCCTTTATGACAAGCAAAGACAGACATGCTACACCCCTACCTAGCAGTGTATTAAACTGTATATATCTCTTTTCCTCATGGCATGTCACAAGAAGGTAGTGAAATACCCCAATATATCAGAAGGGCAGCTTTAATCTTAAGTAGTGCTCCAAGGTCATGGTACAGTGGGAAGGCCGCACTGTGTGAGTACGCTGCTGACCAACACTTCTTATGTGGCTACCAGTGACAGTGGTGCACACACACAAACTAGTTTAAAGTAGAAAGCCTTCGCTGTTAGAATTTGACTTCATACACCGTAGTTCTGGATTATTCAGCCTATTGTTGCACTTCTTTTTAGATTTTACTCAAAACATCATTGAAAATGTTATTCAAGTAAGAACATTTTATTTTCATGAATACTGTGTATTTAAATACCTAAAATACATATTTAGAACTGTATAGAAGATACCTAATAAATTCTTATTTATTTAACAGGAAGAGTTGTCTTAAGCTTCTGAAGTATCTTCTAGAGCAACTTAAGATGAAATACCCCAAAAAGTTGGAAAAATTCTGTTCGTATCATGTCAAAACTGCTTTTTTCCACTCATGCGTCACATGGCCAAACGACACAGACTGGCATTCGGGAGACCTGGATTATTGCTTTCAGAAATGTCTGGGATATTTTCTGCATTGCCTGCAAAAGTCTCAGCTGCCACACTTTTTTATTCCCAAATACAACTTGCTCAGCCTGGAGGATAAGGTGAGCAACGACTTCCTTTCAAGACAAATAAACAGTGAACTGAACAATGGATTCCCAATATTTCAGGAGAGGTTTTAAAACCACTCTTTACAATAACTATCATGTAGATTTGCAGATTTAAAACCATAAATTTTGCACCTTAAGCTACTCCTCAGTAGTCTGATACAGAAATCAAAATCAAGAACACAGAAAAAAATTGCATACTTCTGTTATAGCTTAGCCACAACCCTTAAAAGAAATAGGAATTTAATATTTATCTTCTGTATCCAAATACAGATGCCATCTGCAAAGTATGCTCGTGGTATACTAGGAATGTATAGAAGAATTTGCAAGTTATTTTCCTACATGTAATTTCTACAATTCCAAACAAAGGCATCAGTGACTGCATAAAATGAAAAAAAGACAATTTTATTTAAAATGAAGATCCACTGCAGAATATCACAAACACGCTCCTGCTTTCAAAACGTAAAGGCACTGGAGCTGCTTTCATATAAACCAGAACAACTTCTCCAGACCAACTGGGTGGACAATCACCACCAACAGTGAGTGAGCAGAGAGAGAATATGTTATCAAAACATTATGAAATTCCTTATCTTATACTAGTTACTTATGGAGTCTTCAGAATTGCTTTGGAAATTGGTTTTTTTTTTTTTTTCACTGGACTTTGGATGGGAGGCAATTTTTATCTAATGTGCTGCAACAAAGTAAAAGTTATTATGCCATGAGCATTTGTGTGAGGTATCTTGTGGAAAGAAATGTATCTTCAACCCATACCAAGGTGGAACAGTCTCCCTGTGCAAGGTTTTCAAAGCCAAAAATGCAGCATGAATCAGAATTCAGCCCAGTTTTTCTCACACTGAAGAGTCTGTTAGGAAAAGAGTAACGGTAATTATTTCCTATTATTAAAAATGTGCAGGTGATAATACACAGCATTTGGGAACAGTTGTGCTGTAAGTAAATAAATATTTTACGTTTTCTTAAAGAAGCTATGGGAAGTTAGTGTTCAAGGCCAGGTTGGACATGGCCTGGAACAACCTGTTAAGAGTGGGAATTGTACCTGCCCCTGTCAGGGGGGTTGGAACTAGATGATCTTTAAGGTACCTTCCGGTCCTAACCATTCTAAGTCCATATTTTTAGCTAACTTTTGAAGGCAAAATAACCTACTGCCTTAAATAATGCCCAAATTTCACCTCAATTATGAGCAAATAAAGAGGGAAGGTCAGAAAAACATCACATTAGATTCAGTTTATTAATTTTTCATGTACTTATAGGACAAATGACTAAACAAATTCAGACCAAACATCGAATGAAGGAATAGCTCCTTCCCATCTAACTTCTAAAGAGTGAAAGCATACCCCAGTAGAACCAAATCCAAATGTAAAATTCTAATCAATTTTATCCAAACTTTCAAACCTATGTTTTCTTCATAACTTTGTTAACATTGCTCTAGTAAACTCTTGTTTTAGTTCCTTAAGCAAGAAAATGACATCTATGATAACAAGAGTAAAAGCTATTTTTTTTTTCCCCAGCTGTTAGCCATGGACACCTATTTCTTGTTACACTCTCCTCCATTAAAAAGAAATATAGAATTCTTTCAAAAAAAGCTTGAGACATGTCAAAACAAAAATGTCTTTCAGTGTTAAGTTTTAAAATAAAAACCAAACCAAACTTGCTTCAGCAAACAGTTAATGCAAACAACAGTTTTCAAATAACTAAGTTATCTTTGGAAAAACTGCATGCCACCGGGAAGTGTGAGGTATCAATGCAAAAGTACATTTTGAAGCCATGCTGACAAATACTGCTTACATTCACTAATCCAGTTATCTGAAAATAAACAGAAAAATTGTATTTTACGTTCTTATATTAATATATTTAACTAAAAAACAAAGCAAAAACCCCCAAACCAAGCAAACCCCAACAAAACCCACAAACACAAAACCCAACAACCAAACCCACGGTATTTATTTTTTAACCAGTAGATCGTGGCTTTATAAATTATGCACATCACAAGAAAAAATATTTTCTTTTTAAATGAAATTAATTTTTCTTAAGTGAAAATAGTGTTCATGCTCAAAACTAGGTTTATTTCTGTATGAAGTTAAACCAGTTTTCTAAGCCACTTTTTAAAACATATTTTATTTAAATGGGACAGGTACAGAAAACAACTGAGAAAAGCAACTTCTAAATTCAAGCCCACAGAGGCTAGCACTAACTATAATCACTTACTCTGTTTCTTACTGCAGGGGATTACAGTTACCTTGAGCGCCTGCCCTGAGGTCTTCGTATATCCTTCCCAATTTCTTTTCTAATTTGAAATTCTTTGTATCTTTGTGCCATTGCAATAAGCTCATTAGGAACAACCTGATAAGAAAGTAGCACAAAAACAAGGCCAGTTTTATATAAATCGAAATTTTTAGACCTTGCTTTACAAAAATGCCATTGGTTTGTGTGCTCCCAAACTTGATTTTGTTATTTATCAGGCCTCTGTCACTTTGCAGATTGTCTTTCTGTAGAGATCCATGGAGAAGTCTTTTTACATAAAATTATACTCAAATATACTTACAAATAATCAGCACAGAGTCTCAGGATTTTCAATTACATATTTATGCTCAGATCACCCTATCTGACAACAGCATACAACCAGCTAATTAAAACATAAGTATTTCAGGCAGAAATGTATGTCAGTGATGATGAACAGATGAAAAAAAAAAATTGTCCAATGCCACTGTTGTGGCAGACATTAATACAATGTTTGCTGCAAAAAGCAGTGCAAGTGTCTGTACTGCCAGAAGAGGTTTTGGTTCACTCATCTATCAAAGCCAGCCTGGTTTGATGGTCTGCTACGGCATGTAACTATGCGGCAGGTAGGGATATCCAGCCCAGAATCAGTTTCCTGATCAGAGAGCAAGCTTACACAGTGCATGTGAGCACAGCATTAATGGGATTGCTCAGCCTCTGTGGTTTGTCTCCCTGTGACTGGCACAAACACAGTGCAAACAGTACAGTACAAACACTTCATAGTCCCCTTAGAAATGCCTACACCTGGCAATGCTTGAACAGGTGAAGAATGCAGCCAGGGCAGTATATTCCTCCAGTTTCCACTTCTTTTGCCATAATTCAGCTATGCTTGCCATTTGCTGTAAGCAATTTTTCTTAAACTGGCATGACCGTCAGTTTTCTAGCAGACGTTTTACGTGCTGAATTGCTCTTACTGGTAAACAACTGCCCTGGCTATCAGGAGTCTATGCAACAGGATGCATACGGAACAGTCTATTCTGACTCAGTTTTAGACATTGCTTAAAAATAAAGTGAAAAATGATGCATCTCTCTAGCTGAAAATCACTACAGACTTGTATCAAGAGAGAGAAGTAATGAGACAAAGCTAGTTTCCAGTTGAAACACTGGATGATTTTCTTTCTCAGCATCAGATCATCTCCTGCATCATGAAACAGTTACTCAAACTAACTGGAATTATCATGTTTGTAGTAAGTGGCATAACATCCTTCAAAGAGTTGTAAACTAGAAGATTCAGGGGAAGTTCTAACTCAAGAGTTTAAGTTCAAGTAAGCATCCACAATAACAACCACAGAGCCTAGGTAAAAGCAATTCAGCTTGTACTCAAACTCCCATCCCCCCAAATAAAGTAAAACAAAATAAAACAAAAAAAAACCCAAAAAACCCAAAACAACAACAACAAAAAGTAAAATTCCAGTCCTATTTCCCATACATCCGTAAGAAAAATAGCTTTGAAAAGTACACGCAGCTATCACAACCATCAGATACAATAAACTGAGAGATTCTGATACAAATATTGTTGGTATTTACACCTTCAAATAAGAACATGCATCCAGAAGTGAAATACAAACGGAATAAAATACTACAAAATAAAACAGGTCCTATTAATTGTATGCAGACACCCATGTGTGCTTATGTTAGTTACTTTTTCTCTGGATGTGGCAGGCTGTAAGTTTCTGGTTCTTTCTGGGACTAATCTGTAAGATAAAATACAGCTAAGGACAAGAGAGACTTAAGAACCCATTTTTTGTTTGAGGCACTATGAGCACTCACCAAGAAAAGTGTAAGTAGGCTTAGACCTTCACGAATCATTTCAGCTCGTAACCCAGAACCAACATAAATCTTACCCAGCAAGATGTATTCTTACTTGGTCTGCTCTTTCCAGAATTTCAATCAGCTCAGATGCAAACCTCCAGTTGTTCTTAGTGACAAGTGTTATTGCCTTCCCAGTACGTCTAAACAAGGAATGAAATAACCGTTGATCTCCAAAACAACTGCTGCTAAACTGTACCTACTGACCTGTACACTAATAAATTATACTACAGGCAATATTATTGAGCTGGTAAGTAAAAACTGGCTTGAGTATTTACTATGCACATGACAGAGAGCAACTTTTCATAAAGATCAGAATATGGCAATTCACCTAAAATGGAGCAAAAGCACAACTAATTTAGACTTTCAGACAATAAACCTAGCATAAAGACAACATATTTAAGTATGAAGAGATACGTGCTCATAAAATGATTAAAACAAACACATGTACAAGAAAAAAATAATAGAAAAAACAAACAAACAAGCCGCACTTGTGCCAACCTGAGAAAGCAGCATTCAAAAGTCTTAACACCAAACTACACCTGAAACCTTTAAATTTATGTATGTTTTTCCCAACAGGCCATCTAGAAAACTAAGCAACTCAGTGACTCATGAAGAAACAAACAAGGAAGTGACATTTCAGAATACCTACACAGACATTGTTTTGAGCTGTAATTTTCTGTACATTTAAACCAGCTTTCAAACATCCCTCTTTCCCATCCACTTCAATGAAGTAACAGAAAAACGGAAAACTTGTTTGCTTAATGGTGAACTGATTTCAAAACATAAAGCACTGTTATCTAAAACATACTTTGATAGACTCTGAAGTCTTCACTCTCCCACCCATATAAACAACTGCAGTTCTAGCATTTGACAAGAGAAACACCTGTGCAGTGCATAAAATATTGACAATATATTACTGTCTTTTTGTAAACACTTACCCTGCTCTCCCAGTACGACCTACTCGATGAACATATTCTTCAATGTTGCGCGGGAAGTCAAAGTTAAAAACATGAGTAATATCATGCACATCAAGGCCACGGGAGGCTACGTCAGTAGCTACCAGTATTTTGACTCTGCCTAAAGTAAATACAACAGAAAGAGAATGGGACTTCATGGAATAAACAGAAAATATGCTCCAGTCGATTGGATTTCTAGCATATAATGCACTTAATACAAACAGAAAAAAATGTTTGTTGCAAGTCATGCTGAGTTAGCTTCACATGCAAGGTGGTTAAGTAAGCACTCAAAATGTCATTTTACTATTATTTGTATTTCACAAGAAGAACAGCAAGGTGCAGAAGCAAGAAACATACCTAGCTGATATAAAGAGTCTGTAAAAATAACAGAAACTTCAACAACTTTATTCTCAGCTGACATCCTTATCATAAGACTACTCCATTCTATTAACATGTGAACGCATAACCCCAGTGTATAACCCCTACTGGCATAATCAAAAGCAGAATTGTTTCACTGAAAGCACCATCATTTGACACCTAAATTTACCATTCTGCAGACTGACATAATACTGACTTTTCCAGATACTTAAAAAACCAAAATAAGCCTT